TAGGGAACATGTACTATATTTGAAATAAAAGTACTACTTTAGTTATTCTACGCAGTGTTTTAATCCATTTTTTTAATATACAGTTATAGCTAAACAATAAATGCAGATGCCATCAGCATACAGTGCCAAATATGGCTCATCATCCTCTTCCATTGTTTGGCTCAAAGAAATGTGGATGTGGTCTTAAAACTGAGATAATGCGGTTGTCAGCCGGAAGAGAAAAATTCCAGAAAGCAGAATCTTTCACTTGGGTGCTGCTGTGATTGACTTTCATCATTTCATTGCAGATCAGAAAGAAAATGAGTTTGCAGTCTCCTTCCCACTGCCTGTTCTGCACCTTTACTCCCTCCACCACAAACAAAATTTTTAATGATTTGTTGTTACGGGAAAATTCTATGACTCTTAAAGCAGTCTGTGCTTCTCTTTTTTTTTTTTTGTTGTTGTTGTTGCTGTTTATATCAAATGATTTCACCAAACTTCCCCTTCCTGATAAACTTTCTGTATTTATGTGTAGGCTGTTGAAGGCAGTTTGTTTGCAGAAGAGGTTATAAAAGGTTTTTTGTCCAAGACAATGTGGTGTTGTTTCTCTTCTATCTTCTGCAAGGCTTAACAAGTGTGGGGAATTCACATTTTCTGTAAAGAAAATGATAATACACTTGTGGTTTCCTCAACCACTTCAGTACAAAATTGCTTCATAATTTGGCTATATCCATGAACCTCAGTTTTGACCTTCATTGGTTTTAAAGGTTTTATTAGTATTTCATGCACAGCTGTACATACTTTCTAATTGGCAGCCTACAGTGACTTATTCAGATATTTGTTTTGCTGTGCACATACAGAGAATAGGGTCTTCATTTCTAATAACTTACTGGAACAAGTTTAGCCATGTGTGGATAAACATCTGAATGTGTTTATCCAGTCACTTTTATTTAACCTTAGGAGTCGGATCATACTTTTTAAGAGGGACTAAAAAAAAGTCTTGGCACTTAATTCCTTTCTCTGAGGTGGTGTGGTGGGTTTGGGGGGGTTTGTATGACGGGCAGGTGGGCTTACTTATTTATGGATGATGATGGATTGAAAGCACAGATGAAAGTTTAGAGCTGAGACAAATTTCAGTAGCTTTTTTTTTAATTTCACAAACTTCTGAAAGGCCTCATGAAGATAGAAATTTCTCTCTTGTGCTTTTCCATAATTTGTCTGTGAAGTGTTTGCAAATAAGTGACCAAGAGCATGTGTTTGCATTCTTCAAAGTAAAGCTTTCTTCAGGCTTTCCAGCACTTTTGTCAAGTCTTAGGTTGACATGCCCTGAAAGTTGTGCTGTAAGTAACATTGAACAGCCTCGGACGCTTAGGTAGTTGGTAACAGTGACTAATATAGCTAAAAAACAATTTTGGGCAAGTTATGTTAATTTACTGCACACCTAAAGTACTATTTGAACTGAGATTTCTAGAAACAGACACTTGGAAATGTTACTTTGGTCATTCTGAATACCTCTGCAGAAACCCACTTATTCAGGTAAATAATTGCAAGAAAGTTTACAGTTACTGAATTCCAGCAGATTTGATGTTTTCACAGAACTTTCGGGGTTTGTTTTATCTAGGTTTCTGGTGGACTTTTGGGGTTTTTTTAATTAAGTCTACTTAGTAATCCAGAGTGCTGCTTTTATGGGATCAGGTATGTTGTGTTGCCTGGGTAAAGATAAAATGTTTATGGAGTGTGATCCTGGGTCTCAAGTTGTGTTAGCATTTGCAGAGCAAATACCTAGACTTGTTTTCTGAATTGTAACTAGTTTTGGATTTAAATTCATTTCTGCACTTCTGCTTACTTCAGTGTTATGCTCTGTTCTAACGGGGTTTTGTCACTGTTGTCCATCCTTCTGTGTTACTTTCTGCACAGGCTTGTAAACGGGGGAATTCTGATATAGTGCAGCTTATGATTGAAAGTGGAGCAGACTGTAACATTGTGTCAAAGCATCAGAACAGTGCACTGCATTTTGCTAAACAATGTAATAACGTACTGGTGTATGAGCAGCTCAAGAGTCATTTGGAAACGTGAGTAAACTGTGCTTTGAAATTTGTTCTGGTGAAGTTTGCAATATTAAGCATGTCATAATTTTGGTTTAAGTTGGGAAAGAAAACATCTGATTTGGGCAGAAAGCTAACTAATAAATCATGTGAAAGGAAAATGATGTGAGCTAACAGAATTAGCAGACACTTGCTTAAACTGATTAAAAAGATGGAAAGGAGGAAAAGGGAATTATTAGAAATTAAAGATTCCTTAAATTAGAAATACAGCAATTGGGAAAACTAAAAAGTGCAGGGACAGTTTACATTTACTGGGCAGTTGAATGTAAACTGTTACTAGGGCATGCCAAATAAAATACCTTGCTAAAAAGCATTTAAAAAAATTAGAAACAAACAAAAGAACACAGAACAAAAACACCATGAAAAATCACTGCAGATAGTTTGGGTGTTGTTGGACCCTTAAACGTCAGCTGTGGGCTGAGAGTGCCAGGGTAGAGCTTTTACACCAGTAAATGATGCAACTAAAAATCTTCATTGTGCAACAAGAATGACTGAAGAGCAGCGCAGTGTATGTGGTATGTGAAGCGTTCATGTCATATGGTCATGTAAAAATATACTGAGCTGATGAATATGGATGCTAAATGGAGACAAAAGAAACATAAAAAGGAGTGACGTAGTTTAGTCCCAGCTGGCAACTAAGCACCACG